CACAGCATCCCATACATATGTAAAATTTTATGAGTAAATTAAAAAACAGTATAAAAAAGAAAGTGATAAATGAAACACAGTGTACACGTGCACATACACATAAATATATATCAACAATACATAGTTATTACCAACAATATACAGTTATTATCATCAATACACAGTTATTATCCATTATTGGCCCATTTTTATTACTGAGGACTGGAGATTTTCAGTAAACGGACCACTAGCACCAGGTAAAATTTTATGAGAAAAATAAACTTCTATGATAAGGCACTGCAGTTTTTAGAACTCTGTGACAGGGCCAGTGCCGCGGCTCACTGGGCTAATCCTCTGCCTGTGGCGCCGGCATCCCGGGTTCTAGTCTTGGTTGGTGCGCCAGATTCTGTCCCAGTTGCTCCTCTTCCAGTCTAGCTCTCTGCTGTAGCCCAGGAAGGCAGTGGAGGATGGCCCCAAGTGCTTGGGCCCTGCACCCACATGGGAGACCAGGAAGAAGCTCCTGGTTCCTGGCTCCAGCGTGCCTGCCGTAGTGGCCATTTGGGGGATGAACCAATGAAAGGAAGACCTTTCTCTCTGTCTCTCTCTGTCTAACTCTGCCTGTCAAAAAAAAAAAAAAAAAAAAAAAAAAAAAAAGAACTATCACAGTCACAGTAGCTTAGCTTTTATCTTTATATCTGTGCAAATAATGCAAACATAGGAATGATGAATGGAGAAAAATACTGAAATCTGACTGGTAACCAGGATTAACATACTGGATTAGGAAGTTTAGGAAGTGCCTTTATCAATTGCTGAGAAAAAATATTCTAATAGAAATTGAGGCAAATGACATTAACAGGAAAATTGTTAAAGAGGAAATGCAAGTGAATACAAGTGAAGACAAATGAATCAAGCTGAATAAAGACTGTTTCTAATGTTCAGTTGCATAACAATGAAATTAAAGTAAAATCAGAGAGAGCCTATCACTTATTAAACTGGTAAGAAAAACTAGGTTATAGAATGTGCAGTATTTGAGAGTGTATGAGTCAACAAACTCTTAGCCATTAAGGGAAGTATGAAGTGTTAAGAACCTTTCAAAGAGATATTTGACAATGGGTACCAAGACATTAATAAATGCCTATGCTTTCAAGCCAAGCAATTGCATTTCTCAGAATTATATTCAAAGATGATTACAAATATGCCCAGCATTTTGCAAGCAGTACATGACTGTAATCTTTTATAAGACGTAAGTAATAACTTAAGTTTCTAGTCACAGAGATGTTAAGTAAATACAAAAATTGCATTAAAATTAATGAAATATTTTGAAGACTACATGGAAATGAATTCTTGAGAAGCTAAGTGAATAAAAAGAAAGTATGTGCCCCAGAATCGTAACCTTCTTCCAAAAAGAACAAATACATGTGCCCAAACAATAACAAGAATTGCTATCACCAGGTGGCAGTAAGATAAGGAATTATTTTAGCTTTACTTCAATCACTTTTTATAATTACTTCTTGTTTCTGTTATAGCCTGAGTTATCTTCAAAATCTGAAAATTATTTGTGTTCATAATTAAATGACGCAAATTTAAAATGAAAATATTTGTAACTAGTTAATTTGTTCAACAAATATTTATCCTGTGTCTATGTCTATTATGTGCCAACCAGCCTCTAAAGATAAAGTGACAATTAAGACAAACATCTTTGCCCTTATGGTATTTACATTTTGGTGCAGGATATAGCTATTAAACCAGGAAGATAATTATAGATGATGAGAGTCACTATGCAGGAAATGGGTAAGGTTCAGTTGAAGTTCAAGTTGAGTCTGTAGAATGGGGCTACTGTGTTTGAAGGGAAAAGGGAAGAATATTTCTGGAAGGAAGAACACAGGTACAAAATGTAGAAGCAGCAGGGAGTTGGGCATATGTAAGTGCGAGTGACATTGACAGAGGAAAGTCAGATTTGAGACGAAGCTGTCATAGACAAGTGCAGAAAGGATAAAAGTATGTATGTTTTAGTAAGTGTGGCTTTTGCTTCCTAAAGAAATTATTGGTGGCTTTGAAGCAGGGAGGTAACATCTATTTTTTTTTTAAAGAACATTAAGGAGGCCCCATAATTGAAGCCTAAAATACAGTAAGTGTAGAGTGATGAATCAAAAGAAAGTAAAACTACATTGGAAAAATGGACAAAGGTGGGAAGAAAATAAAATAAACTAGTAAGACACATAGAACGATGTTCAACTATATTCATAACCACAACAAGAACTTTAATGATTTTTGACATACTAAATTAGCAAAGTCAATGAAAATTTGAAGATACTGTTGAAGTAGGCAGGCATAAAGGCTGAAATTGATTGGATTTGTGAACTGGAAGACCACGCCTTTGCCATGCCCCTGTGTGACCTCATGCCCCTACCTGGCCACACCTGGGTGCCAACCAGCCAATCAGGTTAATTAACCATTCCCCTTTGGAATTGGGTTAAAAGCCTGGGACTCAGTGTGTCCAGGGGCCCTTCTCTTTTTCCCTGGACTCTTGCCAGGAGGCAGGCTTGCTTTAGCCCTGTGTCTCCAGAGTGCGTGGCCCGAACCTGGCCCAGATACAGGCCTAGATGCTCTTCCTCATGTCTGGTTCCTGGTGCTCTGTCCTACAGAGAGACTGTAAAGCTGTATAGCTCTGCATGCATTCTTACAAACTTACTTCTAAGGTCTTCACAGGTGAATGCAAAAGACATGCCTGACTGTTCCTATAAGCCAATCAGAAACCTTAAGGACTTCAAAGCAAAAAGCATAAGTAAAGCTTTTGCCTTTGTCTCCTTAAGGCAAACGTGCTGTACCTGCCTTTCTCAATTATCTCTGGGAACTGTTATCGATGATAAAGCTACCTGATGATTTCTATTATAATTCTCTATACTCAAACTAAATGGGTTTATAATCTACATAAGGGTAGCCTATCATAACCCACTATCTGGGAATCTGTAAGATACGTTTTTATCTAAAGGGGCACCCCACCTACAATTGGTTTTGCTCCAGTTTTGCTTATACTAATTTACAACTTATATGTTTCAGAACTCAACTTCTGGGAGTAACTGACCATGCAGGGGACACAGACGTTGGCAATGACCGAGACTGTTCCAGCTCACAAAGCAAATTTGTTAGATAGGATAGGCAGAGACTTCCAGACCCTGGATAGGCAGGGCCTGCACTATGCCCCTCATAAGCAGGAAGTAGTTACAAAAGAGACGGCCATCAACTCCCCTTAAGATTAAGGGGATGGAGTCTCTGAGGGGGGGATGAAGTAGGCAGGTGTCTGATTTCACTGTTAAAAGGGCTACCACAATACTTGGATTGTATGCTAATATGTTCTAGGAAAACAACGTGATGGTACATGTCAAAAGCATCAGAAATGTCCATTCAATGTCCATTCTAGTAATTTTCCTGCTAGGAATCTTTTTTTTTTTTTAACAGGCAGAGTTAGACAGTGAGAGAGAGAGAGACAGAGAGAAAGGTCTTCCATTCCATTGGTTCACCCCCCAAATGGCTGCAATGGTCAGAGCTGCGCCTATCCGAAGCCAGGAGCCAGGTGCTTCCTCTTGGTCTCCCATGTGGGTGCAGGGTCCAAGTACTTGGGCCATCTTCCACTGCCTTCCTGGGCCACAGCAGAGAGCTGGATTGGAAGAGGAGCAACAGGACAGAATCCAGAGCCCCGGCTGGGACTAGAACCCAGGGTGCTGGCACCGCAGGTGGAGGATTAGCCTAGTGAGCTGCGGCGCTGGCAGGAATCTGTCTTAAGAAGACAATCACAATTGGCAAAAATGTACAAGGAGACTTCAAAAAGTTCATGGAAAATAGTGTTAACAGTTTTTTTTTTTTGATGTGAAACAATATTGAAACCTATACATAGTTATCTTATAATATGTATTTTCCATAAGTATTTAAAATATTTTTTATTTATTTGAGAGGCAGAAGGAGAGAAGGAAAGGGAGAAGGAAGGGGAGGGGGAGAGAAATGTGGAGAGGAGGGTTTTCAGCTGGTTTATTCTCCAAATGCTCTTTATAGCCAGACTGAAGTTGGGAGCTGAAGACTCCATACTGATCTCCCACATGGATGGCAGGGACCCAGACACTTGAGTCATCACCTGCTACCTCCAAGTGTGCACATTAGTAGAAATCTGGAATTAGGAGTGAAAGCATGAACTAAACCCAGGCACTTGGATATGAGATGTGGGCATCTTAACCATTAGGTCAGATACCTGCCCCTTATGAGCGTTTAGAAGGCCCTCATATGTACAGGGTGCTGATCTAAGTATTAGTAAGAAAAAGTATTTCTTCTTCTTGGTAGAGAGATTATGTATAAATTTGCTCTATTCTTTGTACCATTCTGTATTACTGAAAAATTCTACAAATAACAATTATTACTTTTACAATTAGAAAAATAGCAGGTGAAGAAGTAGTTAAGAAATCAAAACAAGTTAATCATAACATATAGATGATATTATGTAGCAAGAAAAAAAAGTTAAAGAAAAAAGTGTTGGAATGACATAGATGAGTCTCAGACTTGCTTTATCACTTTTAAACTTCATGACTTTCAGCAAAGCAACTGTTCTTAGAACCAATGTCCTCATCTGTAAAATGATGATGATGATGCTCACTCAGAGTGCTCTTATAACACTAACAGAACATGCAAAAAACTATCTAACTAGATATTGAGACCATTAAAAATACAACTACTATTAATACCTTTTAGATTACTCAGACATGTACAATTTAGTCCAAAGTGACAGCTATTACTTATTTTCTATGATTTTTTTCCTCCACATCATCTAATAGTCATAACAAACCAAGATAAAGAAGCTATTTTCATTACCATGTTAAGGACTAGAAAATTTGGACATTAGAATTTATTTGTTCGAAGTAAAAAGCCAATAAGTGGTGAATCTTGTTTTATTCCAGAATTCACATACTTTGAGGCCATGCATGTTCAAAACATCATAGCTTGGCTCATTTTTTACCTTTGTTGTTGTCCTTTGGATGCAATAGGGGTGCTAAAATCTACGTGAAGAAATCTACTCATTCAGCATTAGACATTCTCCTTTAGCAAAGAGACAGATAGCTTTTCCTGTGGCAGCTACACAGCACCTATGTATAGATGGCCTACTACGTGATCCATTCTATAGGAGACCTACAGGTCAGTAAGACCTAATTCATCATGGCATTCTAGTTGCAAGAATAAAACACAGCAATAACAGTGCAGATTAACTTGTCATAAAAGAGGTACACAGTGCTTGGAGAAGGGAGTAATAATTTTTGCTGTAACAATACAGACCATCTGAGTGAAGTGGCTTTTGAAAATGCCGTGAACAGAGGATGGACAGGCAAATAAGAAGTGAAGTAGAAAAAAAGTAATAAATGGAAAGGATGATTATCTCTATTTGACTGGGGTACAGATAACAATATCTGAGAGATGGAACTGGGAGAAAATGCCAGGCCAGGATGGTATTTGAGCACCTACATGTTTTAGAAGGCAGAGAGCTTTTGAAGGCATTTTACAAAGGACAGCTGGTTAGCCCTCACTTCAGGAAGATGACTTTGTCAATTGAAGAAAGCATTAGAAGATTCGATACTGAACAGCAGGATGTGTTTCAGTGAGAACAGTTAGGGAGTTGCAACCATGAAGAATTAGGCAATGAGATTTAAAGGTGATAAAATGCAGGGAGATGAGACATAAGAGCATGGGATTTAGTTGTGATGAGTTTCAGGTGCTGGTAGAAGATTCATCTGTGTGAGGATGACCATGAGAAATTTATAATCTCCATCAAGATAAGCTTTAATAGTCTAAGTCCACCATCTGTAACTCCTTATTTAAATAAGTCAAGGTGAAGGAATAGAAGATCAAATCTCATGCTTATGACTTCAAAATTTTCGGTTGCAGAAAACATTTACATATTCATTTACATACACATAGCTGAATTCAAATAAAAGCTCAACAATCATATTTCTCAAAGCCCTAGAATACGGAGAAGTTTTCAGCTCGAACTACATAAATGCCAAGAAAAAATATGAGTTTCATGCCCAGAACTTATTTTTATTTGTCAAACTATTTGTGATAATTCCCTATTTTCTAGGGACTTATTTCACCATGGGAGCAAAGCTAGCTAGCATTTACAACTATTATCTTTATATAATTATAACATAGCAGAATCCAGGGACTGCCAATTCTTTTTTTGTCCACAGTACTAATTTACTAAACCCTGAGTGCTAGACTTAAATGTTCCCAGAAGGAAGCTTAGAATAATTGTTCCTCCTCTCATATACTTTATGGGAGTTTTATGATGACTGTTGAAATCTCCAATTACATGCATTACAAGAGAAGTGCTATTTCTTTGTCAATTGCTGCATTATTGAAGGATTTACCTTATTTCAGAGACAGAAAGGGGGAAAAATTGGGATCCTGAATCAGCTCTGTAACAAATGTGGATTTAGCAAGTTCATAAACTTGAAAACAGTAAAAAGGCAACAGTAACTCCTATGGAACAATACCATGATTTTTCCTAACTGTGTACTCTAAAAAAATCAACTTTCAGTACAAGAAGTACAGGGCATTTCAACAAATTCATTGAAAATTGAATTAAAATATAGGTTTGTCTTATTGCAATTTTTTTGAAATCCACATGTAATATGCCTTTTCTGTGAACTTTACGATGTGCATTCCTCTGTGTCCCTTTCTAAGATTTATTTATTTATTTGAAATGCAGAGTTACAGAAAAGCAGAGGCAGAGAGAAAGAGAGGCAGAGGCAGAGATTGAGAGAGAAAGGTCTTCCATCCATTGGTTCACTCCCCAGATGGCTGCAATGGCCGGAGCTGTGCTGATCTGAAGCCAGGAGCCAGGAGATTCTTCTGGGTCTCCCGCTTGAGTGCAGGGGCCCAAGGACTTGGTCCATCTTCTATTGCTTTCCAGGCCACAACAGAGAGTTGGATAGGAAGTGGAGCAGCTGGGACTCAAACTGGCACTTGTATGGAATGTTGGCACTGCAGGCGGAGGCTGCTACCTCACAGCACTGCCTCCTCTTTATCTTCTACAGCCGTTCTAACACACAGGAAGTCAGCTCACCTATTAAATAAATACCCATGGTACAGTATCTTGTTTCTTCTAGATTGACACAAATTTGCAAAGAACTTCATGTAATCTAATCCATTGCTAAATGCAGTTTTTAATGGAAGCAGACAACTCTATAGCCTAAAATTACAAATCGCAAATTAAAGGGAATGTTGACAAAATACTGCAAAGCACTGTCTACTATCACTATTTGGAAGGCAAAACATATGTATATATATCTCTCTATATACACACATGCACACATACACATACACACCTGCACTTGGCTCATTTGACTCATGCACAAATGGTTAAGTTGGACAAGTATGGTCTTAGAAGCCTGTTCCCTAGAAATGGATTTAACCTGGCAAATATGCATGAGTCACTGCGTAATACTGGTTATGGTCATAAAAGCACTTTTGTTCCATTTTTTTTTTCTTTTTGCCAGAGGATCTCCAGTATTTTTTTTTTACAGCAGTAGAAAGAACTGAGGTGCAAAGCTAGCAAAAGCAACAACTTATAAATATACAGGTATCACACCCAGTAGGGTTATCATCACCACTTTAGCTCTTCCTAAATCTCAATACTTTTGGTAGCTTCTCCTAATTCTCCCATCAGTCCCTGCTTGGGTTTTTCATCAAGCAAATTTTCCCTGTGTAGGTTTTGAAATGTGGGTCCCTGGGCCAGCTCACTTGATGTGTTCACAACCACATTGTTTTTAGCTCTCAGGGCAGAAGCTTCCTTGGGTTTGGCTCTTTTTTGGCAGAGCCTGAGCTGGAAAGCATCTTGGAAACCACGGCGGAAGTTCTCATTGAAGAAACCATAGATGATGGGGTTGACGCTGCTGTTACAAAAGGCCAGCCAGTGCGCAAAAGGGTAGATATAGATGTTGATGACACGCAGTTCCCTTGCAGAAAGGTCAGCATAGTCTGAGAGCATCATCAGAGTCCACAGGGGCAGCCAGGAGAGAATGAACAGCAGGGCCACAGTCAAGAGCATCTTAATGACTTTTTGCTTCCTCCTGGACACCTGTGACTGTTCTTGGGTTTGCTGGCCTGTGTGGGGCGCTGTAGCCTTGAAGAGGGAAATCCCAATCCTTCCATACATGATGACAATGAGGGAAAGTGGAGCCAGGTAGATGGTGGCAAACAGCACAGTGGTGTAGATCTTCCTCATCTCCGGACTGGGCCAGTCTTCCCGGCACCAGTAGACAGGGCTGGTTTTATTCTGGGAGTTGAGTCTCACCTGGTAGTGTTGTTCCTCTTGCACATGTAGCATCACTGCAGATGGGGATATAATGGTGATGGCCAGGACCCAGATGATCACAATAATGACAAATGCCGTCTTGATGGTGATCTTTGGTTTAAAAGGGTGCACAACACACCAAAACCTGGAATTAAAGGCAAATATCAATATAATCTTGGACCAAGGTGTGAAACAAATTTATTTAAGTAATTCTTGGTCTGCCACTCAGATTTCCCTTAAAAATAGAGAAAATTACCATTTTTAGCAGAGAGGCATGCACTGATGTTTTCCATAATTGACCTAGGAAATAAATTTCAATTCAATCTTTGAATGAGTGGGCCACATCAGATAGTAATGAACAGTAAGAACTAATCATGGTAACCACAACATACTGCACATGAACATTTCAAACTGTTTTAGATTATGTTCCGTTGGTTTGTGTGGATTGTCTCTTTAATCTGCTTGCCTCCAATTAAAAAAAAAGACTTGTAGAAGATAAAAATCTTGACCATGCAATTGTAATACAAGTAGTTTAGCTAGCTCCAGAGACGGTTCTCTTAACTTGCACCATGTGCTCACTACAATGACAGCTTTAATGGGCCATGAACAACTGTTAAATCAGTGACAAACAATGAACTGTTTTTCCCTCAGGTGCTTGATGGTCCTCTACACAAGGTTTGTGTGCTTGGCCATGTCACTTGTTTTGGCCCATGGGACACTGGCAAACATAATGCAAGTAGAAGTTTTTCATGCACTTGCACATTGGGATTGTTCCTTTTGAAAGGTTTCCTCTTAAAAGCAAGCTCGCAAGTTCAAGTAGATCCAATGAGATGAGAGGCCAGTGGAGAAAGCTCTGGGATGTGAGAGATTGGCCATCCTTGGTGTTTCTACTCCAGCTTAGTTTCCAGGTCATTGCTGCAATACAAGAGATTCTAGCTACAATACAAAGAGCAGGAGAACCATAAAGAGGCACCCAGACAACCCATGGAATCATTCAAAGTAATATTATTGTTCTAAGCGTTTTAGTGATTTGTTTCATAGCCAAATGAGTCTGAGTGTTTCCAATATGGGTTCTGATTATAAGCTTTCCTGACATTCCCTGTTCTCTGGTGGACATGAAAATTTAATATCAGTATGTCAAGTAAGACCCATTAATTTCATTACTATTTCATTACTGTGGATCTTGATATTGCTACGATTGATGCTCATTGTGTAATTATAAAATAATCATATTAGGCAACTCTATTACATTTTTTCAAAATACTGTTATCCATGTACTCTTGTGATTTTCATAACGATGCTTAAAAACTGAAATGTTATTAAAATGATCACTTCCAGTGGCAAATGTTATGGCTCAGCAGATTAAGCCACACATGGCACACCGACATCCCATATCAGAGTGCCAGCTTGTATCCTGGCTACTCTGATTCCAATGCAGCTTCTTGCTAATGCAACTGGGAAGCAGCAGACAATGGCTCAAGTGCTTGAGCTCCTACCTCCCACATTGGAGATCCAATTGTAGTCCCTGGGTCCTGACTTTGACCTGGCACAGTCCTGGCAATTGGCATCTATTAGGGGAGAAAACCAGTAAATAGACTCTCTCTCTCTCTCTCTCTCTCTCTCTCTCTCTCGCCACCTATTAAATCAATCAGTCTTAAAATGATTGTTTCCAAGTCAACAGATTGGGAACTTTGGGACTTCAATGGCATGGTAACAACTCCAAACTGCCTTCCCCAAATATCTTCCTTAAAGGACTAGCTATCTTGGGCTGTGACTGTGTTGTTGTCATTCTCTGTAAGTCCTTCATGTGAAAAGTCATCTTTTCTCAACACCCAAGGGTTCCTGCAGGCTAGTATTCAATGAAACTTCCCATCCTCCTACCTTTAGATCATGAGTAGTTTCATAGGCATGATTCTAGATTTTTTTTCTATAGACCAACTAATGGAGTTTCAAATATTAGATTTCTTTCATCTGTTCATTAAGTATTTGCACACACACACACAGACACACACACACACAGAAATTTCCAGGAGAAATAGTCTTTGCCAAAAGAAAATACTGTGTAATAAACACTAAAATTGTGCTAAAGCATTTGGACTTTATCTAGAGATCTATAGGTGCTCACTGAAGGATTTTACATGTTTAAGAGCAGTACCAGTTTTATGATTTAAGAAGCTTCTTTGGGCTGCTATGAGGAGAACAAATTGGAAGCTGGCTGAACTGAAGATTTAAGGACTCAGTACCAAGACAAAGGACATTTATGGGATCAGGGTTTATTAGTACCCAGAGCTGGTAGGACTTGGAGAGTGGCAACATAAAAGTTGAAGAGAGAAGCAAGATTCAAGGATAAAGCTCATGTTTCTACTTTAATTGGATGAGTAATCCTGCAAATCACTGATCTGGGAAATATAAGAAAAAGAGCTGCTTTTCGCGTGTTTTTTTGAGTAGATGGAAGGCTTGTATAGAATGGAAGTAATGAGTTTGGTTCTGGGTATGTTTAAATTCAGGTAGGTTTTGGACGTACAGGTGAAGTCATCCAGTAGCAGATTTTGAACATAACTAAAATTTGGAGGGAACTGTCAGGCAGGTGAAATAGGTTCAGGAATGTTTCAGTTTAGCTTTCTGCAGCAGCTCACCCTAAAAGAAACACTTGAGGGCAAGGGCAAGGGAAAAAGAGGTGATGGTTTTGAAAGCTTGTCCAAATTCTTTGACCTTCATCCAAATTCTATTCCTTTCTCCTATCACTGATGGCTCAGTTCTCATGAATAGAATGCAGTGGAGATGATTCTGTGTGACTTCTGCTGGTCTCTCAGGACACAGGCTTTCACAACTTTGAACTGACATAGAGAAAATCCAGGGGCCTTAGAGCCACTATGCTGGAGAGCCACATGGAAGGACCATTAGACATAGAATGCCTGAAAAGTCTCAGTTCTTCTAGCCCCAAGGTGTTCCAATCTTCCCAGTACAGGCACCAATATAAGAAACTTCAGCTGCCCTACCTGATGCCAAGGTAAATGGAGACAAGTTGTACTTGACGAATCTACATACACAACAGATCCATGAATTTCAACTCAGTAAGTGACTTGATTGGGGGGGCTGGCTTGTTTTACAGCAACACATAATAGACAGTATAGAGAAGTGGTACACAGATGGGAAGGGATGCAGTAATTTAATGTGAATTAAACCATGCATTTTAGAATTATCTCTCTTGAGATGAGGGAGAGCTGAATAGTTCTACAGGAATTCCCAGCAGATTTGGGAAAAGGGCTGCTCTTGGGGAACATTTCTGGCTTGCTGTGTACAAGATCAGGGAGACTTTTCGCAATGTGGATGAGGAATACAGAGATGAATATACCAGTAATTGGATATCAGACAGAACACACTAAAAGGTACAAAACAAATTGGCAGATCATGGAGCCTTTGCTACAGGAACATGATAGTTAATTTTATGTGTTCACTTGACAGGGCCGTGGGTGCCCAGATTCAATATTATTTCTGGATATGTCTATGAAAGTGTTTTTGGATGTGATTAGCATTTGTATTGGTAGACTCAACAAAGTTGACTGCCCTGTCCAATGCCCTGTCCATTTCCCTGCCGATGAGTGTACATCATCCAATATAGTGAGGGCCTGAACAGAACAAATAGAAATCAAGAATTTACTCTGATTTTCCTGCCTCATTGCTTGAGTTGGACCATCTCATTCCATCCTCTCTTGCTCTCCAACTGGCATGTATACCATTGGCTCCCCTAGTTCTCAGGCTTGTAGACTAGACTGCATTACACCACAGGTTTCCTGGGTCTCTGAATTTGCAATCAGCATGTCATGGAACTTCTCAGGTTTCTTAAGAACAAATTCCTTCTAATCTCTTTGTGTGTGTGTGTATATATATATATACATATGTCTATTTTTTATATTCCAATCCACCTTTATCCTATTGCCACTGGTTCTGCTTTTCTGGAAAACAATGATCAATAAAAGGAGTCATTGGCACAAAGTTGAGATATGAAGCCTTGGGATGGCAATATTATCTTTTCTACACTCTTTTAAGGCTGATTTTGCCTCACAAATGCTCTTAGGCAGGTTGATGATTTTCCTCTTTCCCTTTGGTACTTACAATTAAGACTCCAAGTCTCCCATGGTGTGCGCAAAGATATTTCATTTGCATGGGCAGCAGCAAAAATATTTTGCACATACCAAGTTCTAAAATTTTCATAGTTCAGAATCATTTACATTAACATGCAACAATAAAAGACTTAGAGCTATTATTTCAATAAAACTCATAAAACTAAACAAACACTGAACAAAATATGGTTCTTAAACTCATAAGCTTGATTATACAATTTAAAGTGATAGGGTGATACTGGTTTAATGTAATGAAAATAATTCTTAAATGTTATTGACCATTATTTTTTTAAATATTTCAACCATAAAGATACTTGAACTTGGAAACTTTCAGGTATGTTATTACTTATAAAACAACAGGGAATTCACATTGGTTAGATGTAGGTTAAGATGCCCACATCTCACATTATAGTACCTAGGTTCAAGTCTTATCTCTGGCTCCTGATTCCAACTTATGCTATTGAACACCTGCAGAGACAGCAGGTGATAGCTCAAGTGACCCGGTCCCAGTCACCAAGTGGAAGATCTGGACAGAATTCCTGGCTCCCAGTTTTGTCTTCACACCAGCCTTGGCTGTTGGAAACATTCACAAAGTGAACCAGTACATGAGAACTCTCTATTTCTCTCTCTCTCTCTCTCTCTCTCTCTCTCTCTCTCTATCTCTCTCAAATAAAAAAAAGAAAGAAAGAAAGAAAGAAAGAAAGAAAGAAAAGGAAACTTATAAAACACACACACACAACAACCTATATAAACTATGGAATTAGAATGGAATGTTGCCGGCACCACGGCTCACTAGGCTAATCCTCCGCCTTGCAGCGCCGGCACACCAGGTTCTAGTCCCGGTCGGGGCGCCGGATTCTGTCCCGGTTGCCCCTCTTCCAGGCCAGCTCTCTGCTGTGACCAAGGAGTGCAGTGGAGGATGGCCCAAGTGCTTGGGCCCTGCACCCCATGGGAGACCAGGATAAGTACCTGGCTCCTGCCATAGGATTGGCGCGGTGCGCCAGCCACAGCGGCCATTAGAGGGTGAACCAACGGCAAAGGAAGATCTTTCTCTCTGTCTCTCTCTCTCATTGTCCACTCTGCCTGTCAAAAAAAAAAAAAATTAAAAAAAAAGAATGGAATGTTTACACCTTTTAATCATGAGATTATATAACAAGAACATTTATAACAATTTTACTATCTATTTCCATGCCTATAATGATATTTTCAAATCAGGAATTGTTGTCTGAATAAAATATAGTGTCATGTGCTTATCTACACACTTTACTTTGTGTAATTATTAATACTTTAAGTAATTTATTAAAATGACAATATTATTTTATTTTATCGCTATCATCTCTGAACAATTAAAAACGCAATGAGCAAAACTAGAATTAACTCCTTAAATAAAATATATTTAAAACACATTGTGAAATATAATATCCCTAGTAATATCAAAGCAACCTACCTCACCCAAAGGATAAAAGTTACCCTTAGTCATTGATTAATCTCACTTTTGAAATTTTTCTTTTTTATTTTTTTTGACAGGCAGAGTGGACAGTGAGAGAGAGAGACAGAGAGAAAGGTCTTCCTTTGCCGTTGGTTCACCCTCCATTGGCCGTTGCGGCCAGCGCGCCGCGCTGATCCAAAGCCAGGAGCCAGGTGCTTCTGGTCTCCCATGGGGTGCAGGGCCCAAGCACTTGGGCCGTCCTCCACTGCACTCCCTGGCCACAGCAGAGAGCTGGCCTGGAAGAGGAGCAACCAGGACAGAATCCGGCGCCCCGACTGGGACTAGAACCCGGTGTGCCGGCACCGCAAGGTGGAGGATTAGCCTATTGAGCCGCGGTGCCGGCCTACTTTTGAAATTTTTCAAACATAGAAAAAATATGAAGGGAAATGTATTATACATCAGTGTTACTGATACTAAAATTTAACAAATGTTAAATGCTGACAATTTGTCAAATTGACATTATGTTTTTAAAAGAAATGAAATGTTACAAGTTCAGTTGAAATCCTCTTGGGAGGCCTATCTAATTCCATCCTTCCTCTCTCTCCAGACATTCTGAAGTGACTAGGCTCCCCTCCTGCTTCCTCCTGTGCATGTTTTCATGCTTGTACAGCATTAGTCCACATGTGTAACTTTTTACATATTACAAAATGCATTATATTCTACAGGTCATTATGCAACCTCTTTAAGAAATGTTTTGTTTTTGAGATGTTATGTGTGCTGGTTTCTGTTCATTGGTTGTAATCACCATAAAGTTATCCCTTGAATAAACAAAGCAAATTTATTGACTGATTGTAATGTCATTTATTTTGTAAAAGAAAGACCAATGTTAGTTTAAATTTGTATTCAAGTAGTATGATAGAAACAGTGAAAAAAGAATTTAAGGATATTGAAGTGCTAAAGGTATTGTGGAAATAAATAGGATAAGCTCAGAATTCAAGAGGAAAATCAATTGATATTGTAGCTTTCGTTCATTCTAAATATACGCAATTATATAACTAAGGTAAAGAGCAAGCATTTGGCACAGCAGTAAGATGCCACTTGGCATGTCTGGATCCTAAATTGGAGTGCCTGGGTTTGAGCTCCTGCTCCATTCTCTATTTTGCCTTCCTGCTAATGCATACCTTGGGAAGCAAAGTGATTGCTCGATTACTCGGGACTCTGTCACCCTCGTCCCTCTGGATTCAGTTCTTGGCTCCCGGCTGTCACCACGCCCGGCCTCAGCCTCAGCTGATGCAGGCATCTGGGGAGCGAATCAGGGCTGAAAGAGCTCTCCTGTGTGCTCTCTCGCTCTCTCACTCTCTCCTCTCTCTCTCTACCTTTCAAACAAATAAAAACAATTTTCTGAAAAAATAACTAAGACTTTATAATAAACATTCACATAAAGCAATAATTTAGTTAAAGCACTACTATGTATTAGTAATAAAAATAAATATATAAATATAATAATTTGGCATAATTATCATAGTTGTAACAGGATACCACAGTAAGATATTAACTCCTACAACATATATTTATCAATTTTAAAGTTTGCATCTCTAGCAGATGGTGATTAGTATCTGTTGAAATTCTATTCTCTACCTATAAACCAAGATAAAATGATCTACATGATAGTTCTCAGAAATAGATTAAAACATTATGTAAATAATAGATTAATAGCAAAAATGGAAATGATCACATTGTTCTTTTGATGTCACAATTTCGTGGCATCTCATATTTTTAACCCTGCTTCTCAGTCTCTCTCTCTTTACACACACACATACGCACACATGCACACACATACACACAATTATGAGTTGCTTCATTTATTAACCCAATTTCACTTAGGAAGACATCCTATCTCCCTGAACTGTTTACTCTCCATCCTCATTCACTGCTTCAATTCATGTGGACACCCACTCCCATCTATTATAGAATTTCTAAAGTGCTTACCTTTCTATAATCTAAGACTAATCTAGGGCACTTCTTTTGCTGCTGGTTTGTCTAAAATGCAAAGCTAGTCATTATTTCCCCATTTAAAAGACGTCAACATCTTTATCTTCTGAATAGGTTTATACTTCTTACAATGGGAGTTAAGCCTATTGGTCATCCCTCCCTTCCCATTTGCTTGGCCTAATGCACACTGCACTACTCTTTTCCAGCCTTGCTACATTTCTCTGGACACATGCCTGGGACATTCCTGTCTTAAGAGCTGTCTTTCTTCCCGAGTTCCTGGTCTCTGAAGAGTTAGACCAAGACCAGCTAGCTTTTGAATCCACTGCTTCCTGTTCTGCCAGGTAGAATTCATTATTCTCTCCTGCGTAGCTGTTACATACAAGATCCCTAGTAGAGAGCATTATTTATAATTTTTTTGATTAGCTGAACATCTAGTACTTGTATGCTTTGCTCTTAAAGTGGTAGTTATTGGGGTAGGCATTGTGGTGTATTAGCTGCTGCTATTGATGCTTGCATCCTATATCCCAGTGCCTGGGATTGAGTCCTGCCCTGCTTCCGATTCGGAAGATCATGGTTCAAGTACTTGGGTCCCTGCCACCCATATGAGAGACTTTTTTGAGTTCTGGGATCCTGGATTTGGCCTGGCCCAGCCCTGGCTGCTGTGGGAATGTGGGGAGTGAACAAGCAGATTAGAGATCTCTGTGTGGTTGTCTCTCTCTGAGTGTATCTATCTGTCTTTGTCATTCTACATTTCAAATAAATAAAAATAAATGAACTTTTTAAAAAAAGAGGTCAATATTATGAACATAATTTGGGTTGGGGAAGAAGTACTGAAGTGTATTCAGTTATATAGCATTCTGGTAAGTTAATTGCAGACATGCCAATTTTTCTGGAATCTGAGTTTGGTGCTGACTTACCTGTCTATTGCTATTGCAACTAACGTGAAGACAGAAGCTGCAACTGATATTCCCTGGACCAATCCACTGATCTTGCACATCGTACTTCCAAATGGCCATCCTGAAAAAGAAATGCAACAGTCTTTGGAGAGATCATGTGTTTTTTTTTTTTTTTTGTTAAACTAAAACTCACATAAAATATGAACAGGAAGGAATGAAATTAAGACTATTACAATTGTTAGCTGCATGATAGCCTGAGAACAATTAATGTTTTCCAGTATTTTCAGAGCTTGGCTTTTCAATGCACTAATAATAATGCCAAGTTTACATAGAAATTGCTACATTCTAGACAAGGTAATAAGCATTTTATACCTATTTGCATATATTATCCCAGAACAAGCTTTTGAAGCCTCTATTATTCTCTTTATGATATAGATCAGGTAATAAAAACATACCTTTCCACAGGTTGTTAGTAGCTAATCAAAGATTTTGAACTAGACAGTAGGGTTCTAAAGTCTAAACCATTCTCAGGTAATAATGACTTTTAAATGAATAGAATTGTCAGAATGACAGCTTTTTACTTTATAAATGTGCCCAATATGTAGCCTATTTGAATTATTTCATAACTAAATTTTAGCTACTAGAAAATCTATTAAGTAAATTAGTTAAATTTTTATAGCACTTTGGTATTCAAAACCTACTTGTTATTACAGGATGTAACAATATCTTTCTAACAAATATTCTAGGATGTCAAAAGGTGATTATTACATACTTTCATATTTTTAAAAATGTCTTTAAAGCCTGCAATTTATTTTTCTATATCATTTTCCTTTAATTTAAAATATTTCAAGAAATCTAAATAATTTAAGCATGTCTACAAAACAATGACCTATCTTTTGCTTTTTTTTTTTTTTTGAAGATCTTTATTTATTTCTTTTAGAGGTAGAGTTACAGAGAGTGAGAGGGAGAGACAGAGAGAAAGGTCCTCCTTCCATTGGTTCACTCCTCAAATAGCCACAAGGGCTAGAGCTATGCCAATCCGAAGCCAGGAGCCAGGATCTTCTTCCTGGTCTCCCATGCAGGTGCAGGCGCCCAAGGACTTGGGCCATCTTCCACTGCTTTCCCATGCCACAGCAGAGAGCTGGATTGGAAAAGGAGCATCTGGGACTAGAACCAGCACCCATCTGGGATGCTGGCACTGTAGGCGGAGGATTAACCCACTGCGCCACAGCGCCGGCCCCAACAATCACCTATCTTCCTAGATCAGACGAAATCGGGCACATTCAGGGTGGCATGGCCTTAGACCATCACCTATCTTAAAATAGGTGCTTGAGACTCAACTGAATGGAAGCCGAAAGAGAGTATATCTCCCAATCCTAAAATGTATTAGGTTGTGATAACAGTATTTTTCAATATAAGTGCAAAAGATTTGTATAGCCTTTGGTTGAACACAGAAGAATAGGGGTATGTTTTACTGAGCTCCCTTACCAAATGCCATTGAAATGACAACACTAGGACAAGAGACCTTAAATCCATAGCAATGATTGATGTATAAATCTAACTAGATGCCACTGGCTTTTCCCCAATGTGGACAGACAGAAGAATGGAATTTCCTTTTCTTAAGAGACAGATGTGCCTGTACTCGATACTCTGAGCCACCAGGTACAACAGGCTGGCTACCTCAGTGGCACAGAAAGATGAATTGCAAGTACAGCACTGCAGGGCAAGACTGCTGGCCCAGAGACCCACTTAGTTCTAGAATGCGACAGCCAGCCTTAAAGCTCCAAGGCAGGAAACCATAGAATTTCTTTCTGGGGGAAGTGACTGATCCAAGATCACAGACATGCAGATTTAAGAGTTGTGGATTTCTTAATAAATGGCTCAGAATGAACTGGGAATGGGTCTAATCTCAACTTCTAGGTACTCACAGCTTCCAGGCAGCCATAGAGGACCTCACTCTGAAACATGAAAAGCTAAATAGTAGGTAATGTTAGAAAAACCTCAACTGTAAAAGGAAGAATGGTGGGCATTAGAGTGGGCTTAGGATACCTTCAGAGTACCTAGTCGAAGTCCCAGCTCCCCTTGTAGCACAGATTCCTGCTGGTGCACACCCTGAGAGGTGCTAGGTGATGGTTTAAGTACCTGGCTTCTTGTCAAGGGACCTAGACACAGGAGACTGGGCTGAGTTTCTGGCTCCTGTCTTCAGACAAACTCAGATCTGGCTGTTGTGGGCCTTCAGGGAGCAACCCAGCAGATGTAATATTTTTTTCTCTTTCTCTCTCTCTCTCTCTCTCTCTCTGCCATTCAAATATAATGAAAATAAATCTTGAAAATTTTTAAGTTGGGGCCAGCGCTGTGGGGCATTGGGTGGAGGCTGACCTAAGTTCTTGGGCCTCTGCACCCACATGGGAAACCCAGAAGAAGATTTTGGCTTCTGGCTTTGGCCTGGCCTAGTCCCTGGCATGGTGGCCATTTGGGGAGTCAACCAGCAGATAGAAGACCTCTCTCTCTCTGTAACTCTGCCTTTCAAATAAAGGAAATAAAACTAAAAGCAAATTAAAGTGAAAATAAATAAAATAGCAAGAAAGAGGAAACAGCTATGAAAAATAAAACATAAAAATATTACCAATAATGATAGATATGTGACACATTTTGTCCACAAAACATGTGTATGATAGTATGCAGAACATTCAAAAATAAAGAAAAAACAATTCAAAGAATTTAAGATGTGATAATAAAAATGAAGACCCCAACAAAAGAGTATAAAATGAAGTTGTAAAGATTTTTTTAAAAAAATAGAAACCAGAATCTCCAGTATCTGATTCATATGAGTAGAGGAAAAGAAAATGGAAAATAATCCCATAAGAAAATTCCCCAGGGATGAAGGGCATTCATTTTCTGATTGAATGGACCTAGTTTTTTTCTAGTGTAATAAATGAAAATAGGAAAACTTACTCCAAGGCATCATTTCATGAAATTAAGAACACTAGACTAATGAGAATTGCTAAAAGCTTTCAGGAAAACAAATCATGAGTAAAAGAAGCAAGAGTCAAATGGCATCAGAGTTTTCAGCAGTCGACCGTACATTTCTCAACAGTAACAACAGAGCAATTGCTTTAAAATCCTCAAGGTAGACTTGTTCAGTCTGGACGTCTCATGAAGCTCATTATAAACAAGGGCAAAGGCATAATAAACATCTTTAAAGACATACACGACTTTAAGAAGGTATTATCTCACTGTATCATTCTTCAGGAAGAAATAAACCAAGAAAGAAGACATGACATCCAGAGAACAGGGCATGGATGGTGCAACGAGAGGTGAAGGGACTTGCTAGGGTAACTGAGAGCAACAAGGCCAGGTACAAACAAGTAGACAGATGGTCTCGAGATAAGGATCTCCAGGAATAAGATGTAATTTACAAATCTGAAGTCATTGACAAGAGAGGACTGTGAGGAATGCATTACTGAGAGGTACACACCCCAAACCAAAAAAATTAAAATACAATGCCCTTGCTAAATCCCAGAAAATGAAATCAGTGTCACAGCATTTTCCAAAGCTCATCAGGGGTAAGGTGCATGTAAAACAGGAATGTATATGCTAAACATTGATCTCAACAAAACCAGGATATAATTATATTGGGAGTCTGAAAGAAGAGGAAAATTATGAATGCATGGTTGTGGTTTTTATGGGAAAAGAAGATTATGATAACTACATTTTTATCTTCTCCAATTTGAAGATAACACCTTATATTAAAAACATATTATTAAGACATATAGAAGCAATTACCAAAAATAAAGTCCCAAAATGCTGAGAGCAACAGTATTTTAGAAGCAGAAATCAAAAAGTAAGAAGGGGAATTTATATACAAACATTTTAAAATCATAATTTAATTTACAAAACATTTGTGAGGGAAAAATACTAAGAGCATTTGTTGGCAAAATAGCTTTCCAGAGAGTAATAACAGTAATTTTGAACATTTTTTACCCTCTTTTAGTGTGGAATAGTATCAGGAGAACACTATATAGTAATTTTTTAATGATGAACATTACAATATTCCGAATCCATGCACTCCATGGCTGAATGAACAGGCACTCTTAACTCTCACTAGCTTCTTTTCCAGAGAACGGAATGGAAGAGAGGAAAACTCCAAAGAGAAATGTCTTTTTCCCATTTTTCAGTGAACTGATTTGAATTCTATGAAAGGATAAAATTATGATATAGCTCATGTTGCTTGAAATATATTCAATTATCCATTATTGTTCTATTTTTATTATACATGCTTGGAGATGGGTATCTTAAGTCCTGCTTACTAATTAATGCAACAAATATTTACTAAGTTGTAATGTGTACCAAAACTATATTGGGAGCTGGAAATTCATCTTCCCTGTGCTTCTAGAATATCTAAGGTAGTGCTAAAGAAGGAATAATGTAGATTCAGAAGTGGTATGTGTTTGGGGGGGGGAACCCTAACCATTCCAGTGTAAACGTATTGACATTGTACAAGTGAGCTATCACTCGTTCACAAATCTTTAGGGTGGTTTCTTCTCCAAAAAATGTTGGAAATATCTTCAGCTAACCATAGGAGGACCTAACGTTGTATTTACGTCTAGACTGAAGACACTGCATCGACTGAAGCCATGTATATGAGCATCGATTCTTTGAACTTTACAGTCCATAGTAATATTTCTGACACATTGTGTGCACCTAGGTATTTATTAAGTAAATTGAAAAATATCTCATTCTCTGATGACCTTTAGTAAACACTTTAAAAATAACAACCTCTACTCTCCATCTCTTTCTACTTTTTTTTCAATAATTCTCTTTGCTCTCTGTTTACAAAGCTGTGTATTGTCTGTCTCCTCCAGAATGAATGTCCGTGGCATGAGGATAGGTAACTGGAAGAGTTCACAGATATGGGGCATTTTCTCATATCATCTCTGAACGGCACACAAGGCAACATACCTGCTATAATGTTGTCCAGCAGGGTTACAGGCATACAGAAGAAGCCAATGAGTAAATCACTGATTGCCAGGTTTAAGATGAAGAGATTTGTGACTGTGTGCATGTGTTTGTTCCTCAAGACAATAAAGCAAACCACAGTATTTCCTGCCATACACAGGAAGAAGATCAGACAGTAGGAAACGATGAAGACCGCTGCCACTTGAGGCTGGTGAAGATAGTAGCTCACATAGGTGACATTAGCATCTGAGAACAGATGCTGCTTTGTGCCATTGACAGTCCAGATGTGACGCCAGTTTTCTGAAGAGTTGGAGTCCCATCCTGCACTCATGATGACCTTAACAAAGGAGAGAAAGAAAAGGAAAGCATGATCAGAAAGCGACGGAACGTATAATCTGTGCTTGAATTTAATCAGAGGGACACTTTTTAATAGGTGGAATTTTTTGGACCTTCCATAATAATCTACCAGTTTTGCATGGAACTGAGTGACAAACAAGGCCTTCATATTATGATGTTAACCAAGAGCACTTGAAAATCCCACTTTCTACGACATCAGCCATTATTATACTTTACTTCCTCAATATACTCGCTATTCCATTTCTTTAGGTACAACCTCTATCCATTCTCAGATTTTCCCTAACTTGCGAAAAATCTCCTTCCCCTGTTGCAGGTGTTGTAACCAACTTATTCTTTTAAGCCTGTGTTACATAATTTGAAAATTCTTGTTAATCTGAACAAAATAGGGTGTTCACATATTTTGAATCTGTCATAGAAATCTAAGAGGATTTCAAAAATTTATGGAAAAAGTGTAATTAAAGTATAAAAATAAAATTATAAGCTTTAGTTTTCAACATACAAACTCCATGAAGTTCAAGACACTTATGTAAGCAATTTAGTCCATTGCTAAAGAATTTAGAGTCCTGGGAATTGAATCACATAAAGGCACTCTTTTTGAAATTGGCTTAAGAAAAATGAATGCCTTTAAAACATATTTTAGGGACCGGCATTGTGGTTCAGCGGGTTAAGCATCACTTCTGATACTGGCATCCATATCAGAGCAGCTGGCTGCAGTCCCAGCTGCTCTGCTTTTGATGCTGATGCACCAGGGAAGGTAGTGGAAGATGGTCCAAGTGCTTAGGTCCCTGTTACCCATGTAGGAACTCTTGGATGGAGTTCCAGGCTGCTGGATTTTGCCTGGCCCTGCCCAGGCCATTGTGGCCATTTGAAGAGTGAACCAGTGTATGCAAGATATCTTTTTCTCTCTGTCTCTTCCTGTCACTCTGCCTCCCAAATAAATAAAATAAATCTATTTTTAAAAATATAAAAATACTAAAGATATTTTTAAAATGTTGTTTATTTATTTGAGAGGCAGTGTTACAGACAGAGGGAGGAAGAGACAGGGCTGACCTGTCACAGCCAGGAGCCAGGAGCTTCTTCCGAGTCTCCCACACGGGTGCAGGAGTCTAAGCACTTGGTCCATATTGCACTGCTTTCCCAGGCCATAGCAGAGCTGGATCAGAAGAGGAGCAACTGGGACACAAACTGGCACCCATATGTGATGCCAGAGCTGCAGGCGGAGGCTTAGCCTACTATACCACAGCAAAATCCCCTAAAGATATTTCAAGATTAGCAAATTAAAAAAAAATCAGAAGGAACCAAATTAGGACTATTAGGTAGATGGCCAACGACTTCTCATGGAAACTCTCACAGAATGTGCCTGTTCCACAGAAATAAACAGGAGTATTGTTGGGGTGGAGTTGGACTCTCTGGGCAAGTTCTCTGGGAAGTTTTCTGCTACAACTTCAGCTAACATTCTCAAAACACTCTCCTAATAAGCAGATGTTGTACTTCTTTTGGTCCTCAAGAAAGCCAAAAAGTTAAATGCCTTGAGAGTCCCAAAAAGCAGTATCCATGATGCTCACTGACGCACTGTCCACTTTGCTTTCATGGAACCACTTCTGCCTCTTGGTAGTCCTTGATTCGTTGTGTGTTTTCTGTTTCATCTCCTGTTATGATTTTGAAGAAATGGTTCAGGATCTAGGTTCTACTTGTTTGAAATTCAATGGAAAGCACTGCTCATGTCTGCAGCTGATTTTGACATAATAGTTTTGGCACCCATCAAGCAAAATGTGCTCCACTTTAGGTTTTCAAACAGAGTTGTATAAGTTGGGGGTGAGCATTTGGCACAGCAGTTAAGTTGCCACCTGTGATGCTCCTGTCCCATAATAAAATGTCCGAGTTGGAGTCCTCACTCTGTTTCTGTCCCAACTTCCTGATAATGCAGACCCTAGGAGGCAGCAGGTGCTGTCTCAGGTAGTTGGGTTCCTGCCACATGCAGGAGACCTGGATGGAGTTTTGGGCTTGTCCAGATTCAGCTGTTGTGGACATTTGGGGAGTGAAGCAGTGTATAGGATACCTCTCTGTGTGTGCCTCTGTCTGCTTTTCTCTCTCTCTCTCTCTCTCTCTCTCTCTCTCTCTCACTGTGTGTGTGTGTGTGTCCCTCTGCCTTTCAAATAAATAAAAATAAATATTTTAAAAAAATTGTGTAAGCTGGACCAGTTGAAATCTCTATGCCTTTGGCTGTTATTTCTTCTGTTAATCACTGGTCCCCTTCAGTAAGGGCAAAAACAAAACAAACTTTTTCTGTGTAAATTGCTGTGGGTGGTCTATTACTTTAGGCTTCATCTTCAATAGTCTTATTCTTTTCCTAAAATGAGTTGTCATTTATAAACTGCTACTTTCTTTGGGTCATTGCTCCATAAACTTTCCCAAAGCATCAATGATTTCACAGTTCTTCAAGCCAGAGTGACTATCAGTTTGATGTTTGTTCTTACTTCAGTTCTAACAGAATTAGTTACTCTGATAAGGGCTTTTTTTGAAACTTGTATCTTTCTTAGTACCTCAAACTAGATCCTGTTCAGACATGTTACAATGATTAGTAGGGGTTTTTTTGGGCACAAAAATATTTTGAAATCCATGCATAGTTCTTTTCATAGTACATACCTCCCATAGGTTTTTTGAAGACCCCTTGTAAGCTTTTGTATTTGTCTTATTTTATTTTTTTTGACTTTTTTTTAACTTTTATTTAATGAATATAAATTTCCAAAGTACGGCTTATGGATTACAATGGCTTCCCCCCCATAACGTCCCTCCCACCTGCAACCCTACCCTTTCCCACTCCCTCTCCCCTTCCATTCACATCAAGATTCATTTTCGATTCTCTTTATGTACAGAAGATCAGTTTAGCATACATTAAGTAAAGATTTCAACAGTTTGCTCCCACATAGAAACATAAAGTGAAAAATAATAGATAATTTTTAAATGATGATGAAATCAGATCAGACCTATTGTCATCTTTAATCCCAGTGAGAGTCAAGTTGGGAATTGATAATTTCTTCTTCTTCTTTTTTTTTAACAGAAGATCAGTTTAGTATACATTAAGTAAAGATTTCAACAGTTTCCACCCCCATAGAAACACAAAGTGAAATATATACTGTTTGAGTACTCGTTATAGCATTAAATCTCAATGTACAGCACATTAAGGACAGAGATCCTACATGAGGAGTAAGTGCACAGTGACTCCTGTTGTTGACTTTACAAATTGACACTCCTGTTTATGGCATCAGTAATCTCCCTATGCTGCAGTCATGAGTTTCCAAGGCTATGGAAGCCCCTTGAGTTCTCCAACTCTTATCTTGTTTAGACAAGGTCATAGTCAAAGTGGAGGTTCTCTCCTCCCTTCAGAGAAAGGTACCTCCTTCTTGGAAGACCTGTTCTTTCCACTGGGATCTCACTCACAGGGATCTTTCATTTAGGTTTTTGTTTTTGTTTTTGTTTTTTTCCCCTAGAGTGTCTCGGCTTTCCATGCCTGAAATACTCTCATGGGCTTCAGCCGGATCTGCATGCCTTAAGGGCTGATTCTGAGGCCAGAGTGCTGTTTAGGACATCCGCCATTCTATGAGTCTGCTGAGTATCTCGCTTCCCATGTTGGATCACTCTCCCCTTTATTTATTCTATCAGTTAGTATTAGCAGGTACTAGACTTTTTTATGTGCTCCCTTTGACTCTTAGTCCTTTGATTATGATCAATTGTGAACTGAAATTGATCACTTGGACTAGTGAGATGACATTGGTACATGCCACCTTGATGGGATTAAATTGGAGTCCCCTGGTATGTTTCTAACTCTACCATTTGGGGCAAGTCAGCTTGAGCATGTCCCAAATTGTACATCTCTTCCCTCTCTTATTCCCACTCTTATGTTTAACAGGGATCACACTTCAGTTAAATTTCAACACTTAAGAATAACTGTGTATTAATTACAGAATTAAACCAGTCATATTAAGTAGAACAGACAAAAAAAAAACTACTAAGAGGGATAATGTATTAAGTTGTTCATTAACAGTCAGGGCTATGCTGATCAAGTCACCATTTCTCATAGTGTCCATTTCACTTCAACAGGTATTGGTCTTATTTTATTTTGACTTAGTTAGTGGAATATTCTTTTTTAAAAAATATTTATTTTATTTATTTGAAAGATAGAGTTAGAGAGTGAGAGGTACAGACACACAGAGAGAGGGATGTCTTCCATATACTGATTCACTCCCCAAATGGCTGCAAGAGCTGAGCTGGACAGATTTGAAGCCAGGAGCCAGGAGTTTCTTCTGGGTCTCCCACATGGGTGCCAAGGCCCAAGGACTTGAGTCATCCTCCACTGCTTTCTCAGTTACAATAGCAGGAGCTGTATCAGAAGTAGATGCCGATGTTGCAGGCGGGGGCTTTAACCCATTGAGCCACAACACCAGCCATGGAATATTTTTTTTAGTAAATACTTATACATGCAAGTGTAAGTACCATATGTAAGAACTATTAAAATATGCTAGGCTACTTACTTGTCTTGGTTTCACTCAGCATGTCTATTCACATAGAATGTAAAAATAAATTATGTAGAATTTATATCTCTCTTGAAAAAGATTATTTATTTGAAAAGCAGAGTCACAGAAAGATGGAGAGGCAGAGAGAGGTCTTTCATCTGCTGGTTCACTCCCCAAGTAGCCACAATTGCTGGAGGGAGGCTGGTCCAAAGCCTGGAGCCAGAAGCTTCTTCCAGGTCTCCCACATGGTTGGCAGGGGTCTAAGCACTTGAGCCATCCTCCAAAGCTTTCCTAGGTGCATTGGCAGGGAGCTGGATCAGAAGTGGAGCAGTTGGAACTCAAATTGGCTTCCATTTGGGATGTTGTCATCACAGGCAGCAACTTTACCTGCTATAGCACAATGCCAGCCCCAGAATTTATATATCTTATGTGGATATTTCAATCAACTCTTGGATATCAGAAGTAC